TATTGGCACTGCTCTGTATTTCTCATCCATGCTAGAAGTAAAATGGGTGAAATTTGGACCCAGTTGGTTTGTTCTGTTCCTCTCTATTAACTCAGACCGACACCAGTGAATACCTTAAGTACCCTTCTGATTCTTCTTCATCTTTGCTGAGCAGAGACAGTTTTGAGTGTATTGGATTTTGAAAGCCACAGCCTTCAGTCATATTGTCCTTAGGTTGAAGATTGATTGTTAGTTAATACCTAAATTGAGAGGCATTTTGAGATGCTGCACTACAGTGTTTAAGTACAACTGCTACACTAGTGATGATTACTCACAGGGCTCTTGATCTCATGTAGAGGGCAGTAAAATAAAAGCCAGTGAAGTGTGAAGAAGTCAAAGGCAAGTTGAGTAGCATTCAGCACTCTCAGTGCTGGCTCATATTTAAGTTTTCAGGGGTTACCATGTGCATATCCGATGTACATTCTCCCTGAAATGTCATTTGCTATAATAGGAAGTTAGAACCAAAGTTTGGAGAAGAAAAGAGATAGAGAGACTCGTTGGAGACAGAGGTTCATACTGCTCAAGTTTAAATTGACCCTAATGATGGTTTTCATTGCTTGTGTGAGTTTGGTTTGATCACACTCATTCTGCAAGCTAGACCAGCATCACAGTGATCCTTGAGCCCAGTGGGATGGGGGTGAACTCATGGATTGAGATAAAAACTAGGACAGAAATAGAAGAAGGAGAAAAGAATAATAGTTACATTATTGTGTATATGTATGTAACCCTTCACTGGCATGACAGTACGAGAAGCTGAGAAACTGAAATGTCTGAAGAGGCCTGCTTGGCAGTAACTAGAACATCAGCATGTTATCTACGTTGTTTTCCTCCTAAAGCCAAAACATAGCATCATACCAGACACTGCAAAGGAAAAATCAGCTCCCTCCCAGCTGAAACCAGGACAGCATGTTAGGCCAAGGTGTGGGCTCCTATGGCTGCAAGCACATTGTCTTTAGTATTACTGGTTATAATTATTGTAATAATAACCAGTAATAAAATAAGATTATCAAAATGACAGTATCTCTGTAAACAAACAGTGGCTGCAGGTACCCTGCTGGCTGCTCGGACTTGCAATGTGTGCACAGAGGAGAGCCCTGAGAGAGTTCCAGTGTGCTGGATTTGTTTTATCCACTTAAGTCCTCCGCTAGCGCACACTGCATGCACCATCTCCTTGAAGCATGTATTTGTATATTCACGTCTGCAGGGATTTCAACATTCAAACAAGCAGAATATGAAAAACACAGCTTGGAGCCAGGCACTGTGTGGATGAGAAGTGAGTAAGGGCTTCCCACTCATCACTACAAATACCCCTCTGCTCCTGCACCGAGTGTGTGTTCCACAGGAGCCTTGTCTCAGCTGTGCACAAAGGCAAAGTGCTGTAGTGCAATGCGAGTGGAAATCATTGCCTTCATTTTTAAGTTGATCTGGTAAATGTTTTCCTTTCTTTCTGTGCTTATACAGGCATCAGGTCGCATACTAGATCTCCAACTACGTGAAAATGGTTTAGAGTATTTACTGAAAATGTTTTTCAGATTGTTCTGATGAGATTGTCTCTCCTTTTTTTCCAGTTGTTCCCCTCTCCAAGTCTAAAACCTGAAAATAAATTCAGTGTTGAAAGAACTGTGAAGGATAAATTTGGAAGGGACATCTTCCCATAAGGATTCATCTCTCTGCACAGCGTTTATGAGCATGACCTGCTGGTACACTTGGGCTGCAGCCATAACTCCGTACATCTCACTATGCAATGGAGCTGCTGGCTGCCTCGAGCACTGACATTTACGGTGTGTCACCCAGTATTGCTTCACATCCCTCCAGACAGTCTTGATCATCACCTAATTAAAGTGTATGGCCTCTTCTGCACTCTTCTGTGGAGCTGCTGAACACTGCCTCCCGTTGGTGATGTGTTTATTATGCCTCTGAATTTCTCTTTGCAGCAGTGTTTGCTTCTATCCGAGCAAACTGAACAGTGGGAGCATGGAATGCTGCTGAGCTGGAGTGATGGCTTGCATCATGTTGTGCATCCTTGCACTGTAGGGCCCTCTTAAAGTCAGATGGTCCACACCTTTATAGTGCTGGACCAGGTTTACAATCTGCCTCAGAAGGTGATCAACCTCTTCTCTGCTTCCCTCTTCCAGTGCAATAACTGCTTTGGGTTTGCTCGTCTGGGTAAATGGGCTACTAACAAACACCATGCAAAATCTTGGAAATGCTTCCTCTGAAGCCTGGAAAAATAGAGAAATATGGCAATACAGCTGTGTTGACAGAACAGCCTCCTGAAGACTATTTAGCAAAGGCCCAGCCAGCCAATTTCTTATTAGCTAGCTGTTCTGCTAGCACTTTGTCTCTGGCAAGGAAAAGTGTCATCGGTTGTAGTCCAAGAAAACAGCTACAGTAGGCACTGTGCTTAACACTTCTGAGGCTTCCTGCATTTGAAAGAATATACAATGTTCCTAGACTATAAATGTGGTAGTGGGACAATTTGCTGGTGAGTGCTACTATATTTATGTACAAAATACGTGGATATTAGAGTGAATTGTGAGACAGGGAAGTGAAGGATAAGTGAGAAAGAAAGTCCCTTTTCAGTCAAATTCACTGGGAGACTCAAAGAAACAGTGCAGGAGGTGCTGGAGGATTATTATGGCGTATTAGGGGATATAGAGATTAGGAGCTTGCATTATAGCCAATGGGTCATCAGTATTTTTGAAGCAATGTGGTCAGGTTCTCCCTTCCCATTCTAGCAGTTTCAGTATATTGCAAGGAAAGTTGAAAGCATTATCTGGTAACATCTTAAGTTCTGAGTGGAAAAAATACGAGAGGAGCGTGAGCTAGAGTTTCCTGCAATGTACATAGACCTTTATTTTTAGAAACAGCCAATGCATTACAAGTTACTCAGCACAGGCAGAGACACTGAAACCACTAACCAAAATGGTCAATGAGAAAATGAACTCAGAGGCTACAAGAGCAGCTACCCTTAGCAGAGGAAGGAAATCAAAAACAGGTTCTTTCCCTGAGACAGCTCCTTTTCCAGAGAAATACTGACGTTACTGATGATGGACAATGCCATTTACTGTGTTTGCAGAAGCACTGCTGAGATTACTGACTTATTAAGCAGAAGCTGCCAAGTGATTCTTGACTGCTTTGCTGAATCCAACCAGCCATTAGGCAGAGGTGACACTAAATAGTGTTAAGAATCGAATCCCTTTTTTTAAGATTTGTTGACCATTTTGGTTAGTGAGCTACTGAGCCCACTGACAAAGCCTTCTGAATGCTGCCCGTGAGCAAAACTCAGTGCTGAGAAGTTCATTTTAAATTAAAAATATATTACTAAAGTACATTAAAATACAGGAGAAAACAATACTTCAGGGACAACCAGAAACAAAGAACACCCATGCAGCTGGTTCCGTATCGCTCAACATATTTTGATGCCTTTTAATGAGGACAGATGAACTCTTCTCTAGCATTTCTTTAAGAAATTGATATCTGGAGCCAATCCTAGGCAACCTGTTCTGCAGTCTTGTGTACCCAATTCCAGACAGAACCTGTGTGAGCAGTTCCACGGAGGTATAAATCATAGGCTTGAAGCTCTCTTGGATGCATTTCTCCCAAAACTTTCAATGAGATCCTACTTCTTCACCCACCAGTGTTGATTTAGAGTTAACAGTAGAGGTGAATTGACACTGAGTTCTTTTGGAAAAACAGGTCACTGAAGGACCATCCCTAATGATGAACTGGAATTGGCACAAAGCATCCCTTACCATCTCTTTTCAAGCAGCTCGTGTTCTTCCCATCAGCACCTGTGACCAAAACACCAGTAGTTGGTCTCTTCCTAAGTGCTGGGGATTTCCTACACTAGGATGTGTCTGGCTTCCTCTAATTAGAGCTGTTTCTGCCCACAGTTCTTTTGGATCCTAAAGGAAAATGAAGTGAAGCTATCACTGACTGTTTGTGTGGAAGAAGCATCTCAAAGAACTCAGACACCAAGGTGAAGAAGTCCATTGTTCTCAGCATGCACAGTTTTCTTTTCCTACTGAGCAACAATTTTGTTCAAGGCAGGATTTGTTTGTTTACAGTAAATATCTGTCACATAGCAACAGAAATATTAGTAAATCATATATATATAATGTTAAGCTCCTGGGTCTCGAAGCTTTTAATGAACAAAACTCACACATTCCTGATAAAAAATAATAATAAATAATGTCACTACAACTTTTTACATAAAAAATGTCTGTACATGACTACACAATATAACAAAGTACAATTTTATCTCCTAGGTTCAGGGTAGCATCTCTGGGTTAGATCTTCAGCTAAATAGGTATGTAGTCCTGATCCTGCATATTTCCCACTGCAGGAAAGTCATTTTTTCCAAGTTGTGATGTGCACAGTTTGCCTACCATTTATGTGCAAAAGTGAAAGCAGCTCACAGGGAACACAGCAACACATACATGCAGGAAGCAGCTTAGAAGCGAGGTTTTGGCCCACAGCTGTGTGTACAGCGTTATCTTAATGTTTTGAAACTTCTTGCCCCAACTGGAAGAGAACAGAAGGAAACAGACAAAAATAAAGATGGAAAAGTAGGAGCCTGTCTTCCTAACGGAGACAGAAGAGATTCTTAGATGGTATATTTTTCAGGATGGCACTTAGTGACGTATTACAGACTGACAGTCCCTTGACCAACCTTTCTGCTTGCTGACGGTGCCCAAAGTTTGCTCAGATGAGGGCAGTGCCGGCCGCATGCTGGGTGAGGCCTTAGAGCAGCACGGTGTGGCCAGGCTCAGCAGTGGACTGCAACAGTGGTCCCGGACCTGCTGTTAGCTGGAGAATGTCTCTGGAGGCCTCTCCAGCTTGCCAGGTACTATACACACCTCCTGAATCCTGCTCCAAGGAACCTGGCCAGGAAGCATAATAAAAGCATTTACAACAAAAGCTCTGCAAGGCAGGGTAAATCAGCAGCTTGTGCTGATCTTTCCCCATAACAACAGTCAAAAGGCAAACACTTCTTCTGTTTGGCTAAAGAAAACAAAGCTGTTTCTCTCCTGGCAGCGTTCAGCCACCGGTGTGATAAAGCAATTGGTCACACATGATGCCAGGGCTTCAGAACTCTTTAGGATCAGGATAGCACGGGACAGAGTGGTGGCTTATACAGAGTTGGCATCTGGAAAGGAGTAACAGGAGTCCCTGTTCTAGGCAGATTGCATCTGTGGTGTTGCTTGGCAGAAACCTGCTCTCACCCAGGGCAGGCTCTGATGCAGTCATATGGCCACACCATACAGCACTCAGGGACCTTCCTTGGCTCCATGGATCCACACAGCGTGTGGCTGGGCCTTCATACAGGGTCAGTGCAGGCAGCTCCTGACAATGCAGATGAATGGGTGTTCATTCATCTACTGTCTGGGAATCCTTTGGGTATCCTAAAAGGAACCTCCAGCTGGGCTGTTCCTCTTCTGGGATTGTGGCTAGAAACAGGACTCCTGGGATTCTGGGTCATTGTGGATGGGAAGCTTCTGATGTTCCTGATGATGCCCATTATGTAAAACAGCGTACCTGAGAGTGGGAAAACAAAGCTTCGTTAGCGCTAGATAAAAAGCACAAGCCCATGTACAATGAGCTCCTGAAAACCCAGAATCATATCCTCTAAATATTCATATCAGTTGACTTGGAATCATTAAACTGGATGCCTCCTTCCACTGAGTATACTCAGGACTTAGGCTCCTAAAGTATAGTGCTTACAATGCTGCTGAGATGTCTGAGGTAGATGATGTGAGAATCCTCCAAATGTTGTATCCACCAGTTCTAGTAGATCAGCCACGGGCTCAAGATAAAAGCCATGATATAGAATTCACTGCCTGTCCACATTTGTCCTGGTGAATATTGCTGGGGGAATTTTCCCTCTGACAACATATTAGATGCTGTTTTTCAACGCTGTTAGGCTTGATTGACTTAATACAGGTTATTGTACATGCAGACATATCCACTGAAACATCTTCCCACAGGACTCCATCACTTTGAACAACGACCATAAAAGTTTGCCAGATCACATTTGTTCTACCAACAAGATACAGGCTTGATGTAAGAAACAAGAAGACTGTTTGCATCTGACACCGAACAGACACTCTGATTAGATGACCATGACGCATACAAGCCTCAATGCAAGTTTGATTTCCCATACCAAGTGAGCCACAGCACATGGAGTGGAGTGGTCCAGCAAACCTCAGGGACACAAAATCCCTGTTATGAATGGTGACGGGACAAGAGCCAGGAGAGCCCTCACTCTGAGAACAGGGCAGGTATATTGTCTTGCTCAGAAGCACAACAGACAGGCACTGAAAGCTGACTTCACAGAGGACAGCCAAAGAACCAAACCTTTGATTTTTTCTTCTGCAGGAATCAGAAAATGGTTGGGCAATTTATCAGGTGATGCCATTTGTTACAAAGCTGATTAAGCTACAGAGGAGTCATTGAGGTGTCCCAGGATTTCTGTTGGCTCACAGGGTTTGCCTGAAGCTGCTGGCATTAGATCAGCACTTCCAGCTGTTTACCCTGTGGGGAAAGAGGAGCAGTAGGAGAGCAGGAAAGAGCATTTACAGGCAGGGTATGAAGGCTGTGCTGTGGGTGTGCTGGGCATGATTTGGTAGTGGCGTGTGATTCCGTACCAAAAACTTACCCACATCTCCAGGAAACTGCTAAAGGAGTCCTCTGCTGTCAGGATTTTGTGTGAGCACTTTGTTTACACTATGGTAGTTTCTCCTGTCACATAAAAGTTAAAGCTGCCTGCCACATGGCACAGTTAGTGTCAGATTAATGGCAGCTTTGTAACAGCCCTGCCTTGCTTTGTGCCACCACATCTCAACTGATTTGCGTTCTGAAAACACCATTCAGGCATCAGAATCAATGGGAAACAAGTTTCAAAGAGAAAGCACAGCAGCAGCTGAGAATCACTTCTGCCTCACCTATGTGAACACATGTGCTCAGCCTGCCCAGAAGCCATATGCACTGCAGGGTCTGTCTCCCCAAACAGAAAGCAGTGCCTGCACCCTGTGTGTGGGGGCTAAATTCTGCCAGATTTGTCAGCTAGATCTGAGTAATGGATATGAAGATATAATCTGTGAGCAAGGAAAAAGAGAGATTTAAATGTATTAAATAAGTTATCTGCAGCAAATTAGTTGCTCAGCTTTCCTGCCTATAATGAGTTCCTAGATGAGATTTATATACACTGGTGTGCAAAGCAACCAGGCTTGATTAAAGGCAGCATCCCACACTGCTCCTGCACCTGGCTGCTCCCAGAGCAAGGAGCAGCATCACTATCATGTCCCACTGTGCCACCTGCCAGCTTCACTTGGATCTGAACACTGCCACCCAGCCACAGACCCCAGGGATCAAAAGGCACTGCTACCCATACAAGGACCCCACAGCAGGCATTTCACATACTTGCTAAATGGTACTTTGTGATGATGACCAATTTGGAGATAATTGCTTCTGTGTCTCTTGGTTTTTCTGACAGTCCAATGGACTCTTTAATTAACTGCTTGGATTAGCTCTCAGCTCAGCAGTGGGGAGTTGTGTGGTTTTACCCCCCGTCGGCCCACGACCAGAACACAAAGCTCCAGCATTGTTCTGGGAGCACAGCAAGAGCTGGGAAGGATGCACCACCAGGATGCAGGACACTCTGTGCTCTCTGCAGATCCAGCCCTCGCACCAACTTGCACAATTCCTTATGGAAGTGCAGCCAAAGGTGCTGTTTTTTGGCTTCCCCAGCTGTAATGAAGGAGTTGCCATCCCCACAGAGCCCTCTGGGCTACTGCAGAGCACAGAACTCTGGTAGGTGCCAGAGCCATAATGGTAGTGCTGCTCATTAATAAAGAGTGAACTGATGACAAGGGGCAAACACAGCCCTTCCCAGCTTGAGCTGACTCACTGAGGGGCTAAGGGTCTACTGCACCTCCTGCCCTTTGCCTGCCCGTGAACACTGGGCTTCATTTTGCCTCGTCAGCCTCTGCCTCTTTAACCTTGGCCAGGAGAAATAATTTTGCTTCAAAAGCCGTAACAATAGCACAGAAAACATGGCAAAAATGAATGGCCCCAACTGCCCAAGCATGGCAAAGAGCTCAGCTGGGCTAAGGCAGATTAATGGGGGAAGCAGCGCTGTCACAGAGCACTGTAGGTGCACAGCTGTCCCCACTCTCTGCTTAGTGATCCTCTCCCAGTGCATCTGCTTACATGATTAATTGCTTCCATTTCTGAGCTGGCAGAAGGTGGTTCCTGCTGTCCTGGTGTTAGATGGGGACTCAGGTGAGCTTTTTGCATTGCTGGGACGGCTGGGGCACAATTGCCACGGACTCTGAGGATGGTTAGGCACAAACCATAGAGAAAGCTGATGAGCACCAAGTTTCCCTGTATTTGTAAATCTTTTTGGTAACCTGTACATTGTAAATGTAGAATGAGTCTTTAAGCTCCTCCATAAGGCAGGAAGCAGAGGAGCAGAGCTTCAGCTGTCAATTTGTTATCAACTGGAAAGAACGCACTGGCTTTTTGTTGAGAAGTGAAATAGATCTGTGGGACCAAGAGGTCTTGTGAATTTGTGCTGGTTTCTCTGAGTTTGTCTTTTAAACAAATACAATAAGCAATAATTCTGTAAAAGTGACTGGGGAAAATTTTCACGTAAAGGCATTAAAGGCTGTTGTTCTTTGGGAAATGTCCTTCATACGTGTTTTTAACACGTGTGTGTGCGTGCATGTGTGTCAGCTGTTTGCATTCCAAATGAAACACTTCCATTTAAAGCAGGCATTAAATTCCAACAAAACAGAAATCACAAATAATCCTTATCCAGCTACATCTTCCTGCCAGCAGCTCTGGTGTCCAAATTAAAGCATGAATCTATTGTGCTGAGTGCTGCCTAGCTTCTTCTGCAGACAACCCATTCCCTGTAAAAACGTACAAGTGGAGTTCATTTACAGCTAGGAGGCTGAACAGATGGGGGTGGTTTTTTAAGGGAGGTTGAGGTATCAGAGAAATGTGTGATTACAGAGACACGGATAGGTCAGAAATAATAACCTGCAAGCTAAAATCAGAGTGCTGTAAGAAATGCTTTTTCCGATCTCCAGAAGTTCTCCCAGGCACGCGCTATGCCAGCCAAGCAGCCCTACGTGTTGGTTCCCAACAGATCCAGGGTTTCAGAGGGAAGCTGCTTCTCTGAAGCAGTCAGATCTCAGGAAAATGTTTTCTGAACAAGGCAGAAAACATTAATGTTTCTGGTTGCTCTCAGTGAGCACAGCCACCTTTCCCACTGTTCTCCCATTCCTTGGTCCCGCTCCTCTCCATCTTGGCCTCCACTAATTCACTGCCTGCAAAATTCTGATGACCACATGCATGGTTGAGGGGGTACCAGTGCTGCCGACTGCTCTGATGCAGAAGAGCAAAGCTTTCAGCTGTAGGAGATCTGTAAATGTTTCAGAGCAGACTTCCACTGAAGCAAATCTCCCGGTTGCAGTGGGGTGCCTGGAGGTAACCCAGGTAGGATGTGTTCACCAGGAGGAGCGAGGGCCAGCAATTAGAACTTGGGTAGCACCAGACCTGGGAAAATAGATGCTCCTCCAAGAAACCTTGACATTGTGTCCTGCTTTCATCCATATTCAGACCAGATCCTGAAATCTCAACGTGGGGGGAGGAGAGGGGGGGAAAGGGGGGCAGGAAATCTCAGAAATGAAATACTGCAAAGGGGGATAAAGAGCAAAGAAATGTCTGAGGATGCACTGATTGCCTTGGAATGCAGTGTGGTTAGGAAAAAAAGATTTCCAAAGAAGAAAGAAGCATTCCCAGCTCCATAAGGAAACCTCCAGTTAGTTGCAGGTGCACTCGGTGAGTGCTCATTAGGACCAGAGGGAGATAAAACATCACTAGGCAGATGTGGAAGATAGTAAACTGTGATCAAGACTCAAGTCACTTTTAATAGTGGAAACTACCATTATTGAGCCTTAGGTATTTGGATCACAGTCTGGACATAGGTGGAAGCTGGATTTAGCCTCACTGTAATGGAATAGAGCCTCCAAACTGAATATAGAATTGAATCTTTTCTTAGAGCTGAAAAATGTGGTTTCCAAATTCTCCTTTTTTTTCTTTGTCACAGCTGAAAATCCCTTTGATGCTTTGCCATTGACAACACACAGCACCATTGCTCTAGCTTTATGCTCAATATGGGGCCCATCTCTCAAAGCTCCATTTCTTCCAGGTGAACTGATAAAGTGTAAGTAACTCTTTGCAACATGAAATTGGGATCACGGTTAACAATCACTTGGCAGACCGGAGCAGGTTATTTTAATGAACACATCATTCTGAAATAAGCCTTCCACCATCTGTTCAGCTCTGTAATTATAAACGCAAACAATATAATTCATAAATGCACTAAAAATGTACGGGGAAAAAGAGAACAGCTTAAGATGAGTGTTTGTTAGTTCTTCCAGACAGTGATGCATCTGCCTACTTGATTCCTGTTTCAGGAACAGGTAGGTAACAGTCTTTTGACTCTGCATGTTATGGCAGCCGCTAAC